TATTATAAATTTTTGGAAAATGGGCGTAGCCACGCCCACTTATGGTTACATGTGTATATCTTGGTAACCGCTGCACCAATTTCTTCCAAACTTGGCACAGTTGTTGGCCTTGGTACAGCATAAAAAACCGCCGAAACTTTTTAAAATCGGACAATAACCACGCCCACATCCCATATAACGGTAATTTAGAGAAATACAAAATCTTCGATAAATCAGTAAATATTGAAGCTAATTTATTCAAAATTGATGCTTGCAACAATTCTTTACCAAGAAATACGTTTATGGTAAAATTTTGGAAAATGGGCGTGGCACCGCCCACTTATGATCACATATAAGTATATCGGTAACCGTTCTACCAATTTGTACCAAATTCGTTGTGGTTATTGTGCTTGCCACATATAAGCAAAACGTTGAAAATTATTGAAATCGGACTAAAATAACGGCCGATTCTCATATAACGGTAAATTTTAGAAATGCTTGAAACTTTAATATTTCGAAATTGAAGGACGCTAAGTTACTCAAAATTGATACACCCAGGCTTACCATCTAGCGGAAGGTTTCGGAAAGGTGAAAAAACATATATTTAATACTTGCGCCGGGTATTTAATGTTCGGCTCCGCCCGAGCTTAGACTTTCTTACTGGTTGTATTTACATTAGTCGAGATGAGTCCCTCCTGTTCAGTTTGATGAGAAGTGCAGTGCGTTTTGCCCAGTAGGTGGGCCACGGTATTGTAGGTCTTTCCACCTGCCGTTGGTCACCTTTTTCCAGTGCTAAGAGAAGCGGCGCTTGGTATCGCCCAGCGATACAATAACCTATAACCTTTTGCTACTAAGAAACCCTTCTGGCTAGCTCGTCGGTCGTTGGTCGGAGATAATTGCACAGCCAAGTGTCTTAATCTAACCGACAAGATAGCAATGCTGCTCACAGCTAACTCCAAGATTAAAATAATTTAGCACGCCTCTTTTATGGCAAACGCTTTTGCCGGAAAAAAACTGGCCCAGTAAAACTGGCCCTATAAACTTTTCAATTTGCAGTTTAAACAATCCGCCCCAATCATTTTTGAGCCCTCAATCCATTTCCTGCGTCGCAATAGACGCTTTGAAGCGTTCAGTTAAAATATCACTTTCCACACTTTTTAATGGAAACATTATGCCGAAGATTTTCTTGAAGAAAAGCGAAGGACGGATGTGGTCAGATTTTTAGCGAACGCTTAGGTCGTTGAAACAGTACTGTATATGGCAATGCCCGTACGTGCGCTATTTTTACAGACTAAGCTCCAAATGTGCGTTAAAATTAGGAATATTTCGCTTTGTAGTGAATAATTTTAGTTCGGTCTTCGAAGGGTTTACGCTGAGCGGCATTAAATTCCGACTTTACTTTTTCACATGCATTTTTGGACCACCCTATTGAGCATTATGCATGCTTTCAAAATACTCTCCAGCAATGGAATCGCCTGCGATTGAGCCTCCTGTAATATTGCCGGAAAGGTTCCGTCCGGATCCGGAGCTGCGGTAATATCTATTTGCGAATTGTTAGTTGTCTTTTATCGAAGAATAAAGATGTGAACGAGAATAAATCAAAGTACCTCCTGGCAACACATAAAAGGTCTTCTCGTTTCGGGACACACGTAACTGGTGTCAGTTATAACTTCGAAGTAGTGAAGGACTTGGTCTACCTAGGATCCAGTATAAATACCACCAACAACGTCAGCCTGGAAATCAAGCGAGGAATAACACTTGCCAAGAGGTGATACTTTGGTCTATGTAGGCAATTAAAAAGCAGATTCCTCTCTCTCCGCAGAAACATGGACGATGTCAAACAAAGATGAGAAATGGCTTTCGTGACTTTCGAGGCGTTGGACGCAACATCATCGGCTCTGTTTGCTTGGGCGTAGGGTACCGAAAAGGTGGGATGACAAACTGTACGAGCTTTTTAACGTCATTGGCATAGTTAAGCGCAAAAACACAACTATTGTGCTGTCTTGGCCATGTTGTACGCATGGATAACGACGCTTGACTTCAAACATCCTTCGAGTCGCCACCCATGGGCGGACAACGAGAAGAAGGGTGCCCAGGAACAAATTGGAAGGACCAAGTGCAGAAGGACCTGTCTGCAATCGGTATGAACAACTGCCGTCAATTCGCAAAAAAGAGAGGCTACTGGGGGAAGTTTCCGGTCTCGACCCAAACCGACAAACGGTTGTAGTGCAAGTTTGGGCCGTAAATGATATGTAGCTGCTATGGTTTTTCCTCAATTCTTCTATTAGGATCACAGGTTCTCCGAGTAGAAGTCAGCGCTAACTTATTCTTCTCTAGACATATTCATATCCGTGTACTGAATTCCCAAACCGGCGTAATTTATTTTAATAAGTGCTGACTTTTGTGTTAATTTGGATTTAATTTAAGCGGTCTCTTTCCATTACACCCATTATTGTCGCTTGCCCAAATATGGTAAGCTTTCTATTTTTTAGAGCATATTAAAACGATGTGGTTAAGACTTTCTGGATGTGTACTACTCACCGAGCTTGCTTGTCAAAGCATTCGAGCTTTTCCACAACATGAATTATTATTTTTTGAACCTACCATGGGCTACAATCGGCCTGATAACAGTGGTGTGCCTCGTCTTCTTCTTAATTGGCGCTGTAATCCCCTAAGCCAAATGACGCCAACTGGAAGAGCGAAGTGAAGTCAAGTCCTTCTCCATCTTGTGTTTCTGTTGCAGAGGAGGTTTTCCTCTTTCTATGCTGCCAGCATTGCAACCCGCCTTGAATACTTTCAGAGTAATAGCATTTCTGTCCATTCGTACGACATGACCAAGCCAACATAGCCGTCCTAACTATGTTTATATCGTTGTACGGCTCATACAGCTCATCGCTAAATCGTCTGCGGTATTCGCCAGCGCCAAAGTGCAAAGGTCCATAAATGTTCCGCAGAATCTTTCTCTCGAAAACTCCAAAAGTCACTTTATCAGAAGTTTTCATTGTCGATGGTCTAGAGAGGGTTTGATGGACGACTTATAGGGTGTGATTTTTATAAGAAGAGAGATGGATTTACTTCTCAATTGCCAACTCAGTGCGAAGTGGCACTTGTTGACAAGAGTGATTCGTCGTTATATTTCAAGTCTGATGCTATTACTGGTATTAATCCTCGTTCCTTATGCTGATTACACACGTGGCAACCGCTGAAGCAACCAGGGTATATTGCTTCGACCGTTGCCTCGTGTGTAGCATTATTGCTCACAGAAAATGGTGTTACAGCAACCGTCGCCCGAAAATCAAAATATTTTGATATTTTGTGTTGGTTGCCGTGTCGGTGGCCTCGTTCGTATCGTTGTGTATTGAGTTTATTGGCATAGTTCATTGAAAACAGTTGAACTGAAAAGGTGTTTTGGTAGAAAACAAAATTTTCTTCCGTATGTTCATTTCATAACAGATAACACACTACAGAGGTTGCCTCTACAGTTGCCTCGTGTATATTGAATAAGAAAAACTGGTTGTCTCAACACGTTGCTTCAACGGCTTACCCGTGTGTAGTCGGCATTAGAAGAATATGGGTGCTGAAAAGCATATGCGTTTGTCTTCATTCACAATCAGACCCACGGGCTTTGCGTCCTTATATAATTATTCTTATTGTCTTCTCTAAAATTAGGATATCGGTCACAAGGTTGCCATGGTCGTTCTTACACGAGTCCACGAACTTTCTGGTAAAATTTTCGTGCGTTTTTCTTATCGGTCAGCATTTTCGTATTTTGGCCACACTCTCTTTACCTCCCGATATCGGCAAATATAGCTCGCGTTGCGCCCGATCGCAGTGTGGTCCTTTAGGCGGCATCTATTTTCTCTGCAGTCTAGTAATATTCCTCATCGTACCAGTTGTTTTTCGGAGTGTTTTAAATCCGACTACTTTTTCGAAGGCTGTACGTAATGAGCAGGAAATGTGTTTCCACTACTCGAATATGTAGTTTGGTTGAAGAGTGCTCTCTGAGAGCGGATTTAATTGTCGAGTGGCGAATAAATTGGCAGCCTGTTGTGATTGCAGTTTTTCGACGTTGAGCATTGCTAGATTTTATTTTATTTTTGCTGCACGGAGGCGTGTGCGTATCTTGGCTGCAACAACATCGGGTTAAAGGTCGATTTTGGCCTTCGGAGTTTACGTACATCTAAAACAGTGGTAGCATGCTACCCGTATATCGCATATATATAGGTTATTGGATCTATTTATGTTGGAACCTAATACTGCATACTATCACGTTGCGGGCCGCGGAGATATCGATTAACCTATCGATTCTGACCTTGGGAATAGCGCCTTTATTGTAACTACTTTCTTAGTGCCCTATTTAAATTTTGTCATTTGTTTCGATAACTGTATAAGATATATATTTTCATTAAAAATTTTATTTCATATCTTTAAATTAGTACTACATACATACATATAATATAATTAACACAATCTTTGTTTTCTATGTTTAACATATGAAATAGTTTTATTAAATATTTAGAATACTTTTATTTTTGTGGAATAGTTTATGTAAATGGAAGATCTAAATTACTTAAATTTTATTAGTTTCATATACAAAGTATAATACTCATACATACATATATGTAGTATATTTACATAAATTGTAGCTATAGTAGTAGTATAGTACTACGGACTTCCATACATGTTTTATGCTCTTAAAGAGACTAGAAAGTAATTAGATATCATATAGTTATGTACATATATATTAAAGAAATTGGACAATATAGGGAAGCACATTTAATAAAAAAAAGTTCGGTAGGTCCAACATTATCGAGAACCATTTTTTTTTGTTTACATACATAGGTTAATAAAAAAGTAGCACTAGTAGTGCGTTAAAGCAAATACTTTTTTAAAGAAAATACTAAAATGTACTATTGCAACATATTGTGATTCATATAACAGAAGTTTTGTAAAAAAAAAGTGTTTTTTTTTAATTAGTTTTATATATAATCTTATTTTAGTTTAGTTATTTTTTTGTGAATAATTTTTTTAATTTTGCACACGATTTATTTATTTTTTCATTTTCTCTTTTCTACAATTATAAACTTTTTTTACATCTTAAACTACATCACAGCTTTGAGTTTTAGTTACAAAACTTTTATGCCAGCTCAATCATGCTGGAGACTTTTTTACTTTATAAATTTAAATAATAGTTATATTAATATTTAACAGAAAATGCGCTCGCACACAAATTTTTTATTTTTTTTTTTGTTTAATAAAAACATACAGCGAATTTATCATCTTGGTGGACAAAAGCTAAAATAAGGAAACAGTTTGCAGTGCAGCGAGTAGAAACGCTTCGGATCCTTTGCCAAATCGAAGCCATCCACTTTAATGACATTCCATTGATTTCGCATATGCGCATAACTGAAGGACACTTGATCCGGGAAAGTGTCTGGACGTATGTGTTCCATGGGCTCCAAATGCGAATGGAAGTTCTCAACAATGCGCAGTGGCACCTTGAGCAAGTGTTCTGAAATAATGTGAAAAATAAAAACAAAAATATTTAGTTAGAAAAGACTATATGAAGGCGAAGCAATCACAAACTCACCAATTATAAAGCCCATGGTAACATCATCTGGGAAACGTATTTTGCGGCCAATACTAATGAATTTCCCACCACCGGCAATTGGCAACATTTTCATGGTAAGCGCGCGACTCAAACAAAAACCAGCACCGCCAGTGGCAAACCAGAAGGATATCTTTTCGCTGGGGGTTCTATTTTTCTGTGACGTTGTAGGATACTTTGGTGGAAGTGGCAGAAAATATTTACATAAAAATTTATTTTTGTATTTTTACATCTCACGCAATACTTACACTTTCAAGATGTATTTCTAGCGGTGAAAAAATGCTTGGCTTGCCCAAGTACCAATCCACTGACGGGCTATACTCGTCCAATAGCTTGACCAGACGTGGCACATTGACATAGTTGTCATCGTCGAAGTGGCAAAACCATCTAAAAAAAAATAAAACAAAATTCGATTAAAGTAAAATGTTGCTTCTTAAAAATGCAATAAATTCGAAAAATACTCTTATCCACACAAAAACAATTTCCTTTATATCTATTATGATATATTTCGTTTAAAAATTGCTCTCTTCACCCATGCAAATGCGGAAATATATTTATCTTTAACCACTTTGTCAACGCATTACCTCATTCACATGCATTTACCACAGCAAATTGTTATTGGACTGCTTGCAGTTCGCCAACAATTATGAATTTGATACTTGTGCGATTGCGGCTATCACATAGTACTCATTCGTCTAATGGCAGTACGAATTCCCATATTGGTTATGTGTTCCAATGGGTGGCGCATATGACACATAGTAGCCATAAATGTTTACAACAAAACGTTTGATTAGCAACGTTGAGTTTTAATTTTAGAGGATGATATCGATTTTTTTTTTGTTCAAATACCATTGGTGAATCCAAGTTAAATAAGCCAACCTAAATGGCTGCTGTTGATCATATCGAGCCTATTGTGATACCAAAGAACGTAGATAATAAGAAGGGATAACTCGTAATAATTGTAGCGAAAGTAAGCAACAGGGGCCTACCTTCTCTTTTGCCCTAGTACCTTTTTTGATTGGTTGATTGGCCTTCAGTTACTTTATACTCCGATAGCCAAGCAGCTATTAAGTCATTGGTTTGCTGTGAAACATCGTCAATAACTGCGAAAGAATGTAGGAATTTCCTACTAGGAAAGTTCTTAATGATTTAGCTACAAAGTCTACTACCCACATTATGAGCATGCCAGGCCACAATTATATATAAAAAGGAAACCACCCTGTTTGACGACAACTCTTCTCATGCGGTGGTCATACCACTATCTACCTGCAAGATATGGCTCAAGACGCACTTCATGGAGCAAGCAAATATAAGATGTTCGGAAGAATTCACGTGTGAGACGAGTCGACAAAGCTGGCCCAGCCTCGATAAGGAAAGATTCGATGCACTCATTTGGTGAGCACGCCCTCTACCAAGGCTGTTGACGGGTATTATTACGAGCAACTTCCTAATGGGAAAGCATGAGCGTGCACGAAATCGAGAGTGTGGAACACTACCTCTCTCATTTCTCTGCTCTCACTTCTCTGCTCTTTCATAGTCGACCTAAGTGTAGCAGGCATTCAGGGATTCTCGCGTTTTCTAAACCTAACGAACTGATTCTACTTCTAGGTGAACGGACGGGTTTGAATCCGAGCACTCAATTGGTAGCACCGGGCCTACTGGGTCTAAGTGTGCCTTTCTCATAAGTTGGATGAAGACAGCCGCTTCAACCTAAGCTAGGTGATCCGCGACAATTTAATGCAGTTTTCGAATTACCTGTGACAGAGTTCGGAACTTTAACAACTGCGTAACTGTCTAAGAAAATATAAAATGAATGGAACATAAGTACTCTATTGATCTATGTAGAAGGCGAAACAAATTTTGTAGTCCAAGTTGCCGCAGTTGCGTAGTGGTTAGCAGTTCAACTCAACATTAAAAATTAATTCTAAACTCTTTCTTGATAACAATGTGCCAAGGGATTAGTTCTAGAAGCACCTCGATATCCACGGTCTGTATTCTTCTCATCGCACCAATAATGCCCACGTAAGCTAGTAGCTAAAGTTTACTGAGCTAGGCTTGTATGGAATTAATTTCTAACTTCTTTCCCAGAGGTTTGAGTTCGAAATGGTTTCCTACATTAATCTTGGCAATTTGGATCTGATGCCCCAGTCCCTCCTCATTAGCAGCTGGTAATTCCAAAGGGGGCCCTTAGCTACTCAGAGCAACTCGGTTTAAGGGTCGTGACGTGGCAAGGCAATAAATAAACTTTTGAGAGCTTGCGAAGTCTGTTATGGCTCTCATGTATGAAACGAAAATTCAGTGTTGAATTTGTGATTGTTGTTCACTGTGCATCAAAACGAAATTCTTCAATGTAGAATTCTGTCTAACTCAACTCGCATCACTCCTAGTTTTATTTACTTAGTTTATATAATCTTTATTATAAGTATTAAATATGAAAACTGTCTTCCACTTCTTAAACGACTACGAACCTGTTCATGCAGATAACTAGTCTACCGGAAATAGAAAATTATTTTCCTCTTCACATTGGCATAAAAAACATAACTGCATACATCCTTATGTACATATTTCCAAACGACTCCCATCATGCATAAAATGGTTAAGGGCACCATATAAACATTTGTGCATTTGTACATATTTATGTGTGTAAAAGTATTCATGCACGTATGTATGTACTTCTTTTTATATGACACCAAATTAAAATTAAACTTTCTCAATAAAATTTTAGAAAGTTTTATCCTACATGAAAAGCGCAATATAAATTTTGAATAACCCAGTAGTACATTGAAGTGAAAAGATTTCGTTGATAATTTTAAAGAGCTTATATTTAGTAGATCTGATTTGAAAATCAATCATGAACACAGTGGGAAACTGTATGGAGTCTGGAGGCGTGCTAAGTTCATCCGAATTGTTAGGTAGAAAATAATAAGCAAAGGTTTTCGTTTGATTTGTGTTTCAAAAAATATTAGGCAATTTTTGGATTTTTAATTAAGTCAAACAATCTCGTTTTCACACTCGATTTTTTTTATATTAAACGCTCGGTTCCAGTACATGGTTAATTGGCCAAATTTTAACTTAGTTGGCCCTTTCAGTGCAAAAAACACATAGATTTTTAGTTAAATTTTACATAAATACATATCGTCGCCCCTATGCCATAAATGTGTAAAAATGAAAATATTGAGAATTAAAATTTGAAAGTTTTTTTATCTGATTTTTTTTTATTTTTATTTTTATTTTTTCCAGCATACCATAACCGCTATTTACGGATTAAATTTTTTAGATCATAAACTATTTAAATCGGTCATAGAATGAAGTCTCCATTAAAAATTTAAAAAATGTTAAAAAAAAATGTAAATATATAAAAAAAAAGTAAGCTTTTTAGCTAAAAACACAACCGACTTCAATTATCATATACAAATTTAAGAGTACCGTCAATTTCTTCACGATCCATCGATCGGATCTTAAACAAATTAATATGGGACCACCTCTGAGGCGTCACCTTTCCTTAAAAAAAAATTATATCGGCTACCGTGGTACAAAATTATGCGGTAACATATCGTTGCCTTAATATAGAAAGGCCCTATCTGACATCGTCGCTGATTTACAAAAAGTCGTAACTAACTAAAAATTGAAAATTTACGTTTTAATTGATTATGATGCATTTGATCGAATTATGTGGCCTCACATCGTTTTATGCAATAAAAGATTTTAGTTAGTTACGGCTTTGTGCATTTCAGCGACGATGTGAGATAGGGCCTTTCTATATTAAGGCAACGATATATAAAAAAAATATTGCGATTAACTGATAACCTCCTCCTTTTATGAAGTCGGTTAAAAATAATAATCACAAAATAACGATTAAATTTGATTGAAAAATAAAAATCTAAATCAAAGGATTGTTCTTGGTCGAAAAAAATTAAAAAAATACTGATTTTTCAATGACCCAAAAATCAAAATCTTTGTATTTAACGGTTATTTTCGGTCCCTGAAATTTATAGGTGGCCTATCACTTCAAAAGCATGTCTAAATAAACGCATATATCAACACTCTTTGTTTTATTTTATTATATTTCTGTTATTTTTTTAAACTTCGAAAAGGTGGCAACTCTCTTGTAGTATGCTTTAAAAAATATTTTAATTTATTAGCTTTATTTAATAATAATTGTTAACAGTTGGCCCCTCCTTGAAATGTTTTCAAACCAAGCTTTCTATAACCTGTTTCGCTTCATATCATATAATATTGTTTCATTTATCTTATCAATTGAATTTAGTTTGACAGTTGGCAACTCTGTTTAAAAACATTTTCGAAGTAACGATTCTTTGAACCTCTTCCATTTGACTTCAGTATTGCAACATTTTATTTAACTTATAGATGAAATCTAATTTTACAGTTGGCAACCCCTTCTCAAAAAATATTTTCGAAATTACGATTCTTGAAACTCCTTTCGTTTGGCGTCAATATTGTAATACTTCATTTAAGTTACTGATGAAATCTAATTTGACAGGTGGCAACCCTATCTAAAAATATTCTCAAAGTTACGAATTTTTAAACCGTTTTCAGTTGACATCAATATTGTAACATTTTATTTAACTTACTGAATAAATTAGATGGCAACCCTCTTTCAACATATTTTTCCAGTGAAGTTTTCTTAAACCTAAACAAGTGGCAACCCATTTTAGATATATTTTCGATGTAAATCTTTCTTAAACTTCTTTCAATTGATATCCATAATGCAATATTGCATTTAGTTTATGGGCTAAAAAATATCCTATATTTTAATACAGTCGGTAAGCTATTCGAACGTACAATTTTACAAAAACCCGTTTAGCAATTTTTGCGCGAAAAAAGAGTAACAAAACATACTCACACTCGCTCACCCAAAAATGTTCACATTTACTTTTACTATTCCCTAGTAGGATGCCTCCTCGATACATTGGGCCGTATGAATAAAAAGCAAGCAATTGCCTTTTCTTAAAATTTCAGATCTTTTACTCGATTTATTACAAAAAAAAATGTAAGAAAAAGGTCCGAAATTTTAAGAAAAAGCATCTGCTTATTTTTTCTTTCATACAGCCCATGCTTTGCAATTAAGTAAATACCACTGAAAATGTAGTTGCATAGGAATACTAGGCTCTTTTTAACGGAGATTGGCTTCTACACATTTTCACTGCAGGGTTTTTAGCAAATTTTTTTTACGTACATACATATACATATGTATGTATACATGTGTATGCACAGATATTGCTGTGAGCTAGGCAGCTGGCTAAAGATTTTAGTTATAGCAAAATGTTACAGTTAAGAAATACAAATTGGAAAAACCATTGATAACATTTTAAAAGAAACTTTTGAACAGAAATTGGGGCTTAGTTGAACAAGTTGACTCAGTTTCGTCACGTAATGAATATGAACACATACATATGTATCTATGTATATAGATATATATATAAAAGTACTGGACCACGACAGTTCACAGTTTCCTGAGTCTTTCGATCGTAACATGGAAGGCAGACAAGCAGCTTTTGCCATGTAATCGCATACATATGTATTTACTTATTCTTACATACATATGTTTTGCTGTGTATATGCTATAATATTTTACTACCACATTCACATTTCATATCATTTTATTTCATACATATTATTTTTTAGTCATCCCAAAAGTACCGAAGCTTCACTTAGTGAACATAATAAAAATTGATTGACAGCAGGCTATCATGAGAGAATATGTACATATGGCCATACACACACGTATGTACATACCTAAAAGTATTCGCTTTACGTGATGACTTGCACGTACAGCTTCCAAATACTAGTATAAGCATCTGTGTGCGTATGTTCAGTTAGCTGATGAGGACTTCGAGTTGTTGGAGCTGCTGCTTTTGCTCCATTATGTTTGTCGAACAGAGGATTGCTGTTAAAAGCTTTTGCAATTGTTTGCAACCGCATGCAGCAGCACAAAAAAAGAAGAAGAAAGCGAGATGAAAACGANAAAAAAAAAAAGAAACTTTCAAAAAAGAACACAAAAACTGTGTAACGATAAATTGGTTACACGTCACACAGTGTGGTTATGACAGCGGCAACAACAACAATAACGGTAGCGTTTGTG